GGGTAGGTACGCCCTTCGACAAACAGAGATGGTAACGCCCATTCGCTTCTGAAAAATATTGAATTTGAATTAGAAGATGCCGACACAGCGGGTGATTGCAAAAGTTTGTGAAAGTAGGTAATTGTACATTTGCGAACCATCCCTGTTTGTTGATGTCCAGTTCAAAGAGATTCCCAGGCGTGCCTATGAATAAATCTTTTCAAAATGATAATAAAAATTTGTACAAACTAACAACTATCGTAAACTAATATAAATATAAAACTTAACTTACAGCACGTCTTCTAAATATTACAAAAATATATACAATGACTATACACAATGATTATATACAATTAACAAGGACCGAACATTCCGCCCACCGAAAAAATACAATTTTTTCCAAACGTAAATTAAAGGTCCTTATATGATACTATGTTCATGTCTCTATAAATACACACTAATAACTAAACATAAGTTCTATCTTTACATAACACCATTGTTTTTCACATCACTACACAATTAGGGTTCACTTACTGTCACTGTCTGTTGTTGCTGATAAGGAATCCGCTCGGCGGTTTTTTCTTCGATCGGTAAAATGCATATCTTTTTAACCGGCCGTTTAATGATTCCTTCGGAAGTCCTGACAGTCACAACCCTCGTTACGTTGTCCTGACCTGGGTGAAGCTCTAAGATGCGTCCCATACGCCATCGCATGGGCGGCAAGTTGTCATCCTGAATCACAACCATGGTTCCCGGGTTCAATCTAGGATTTGTAGACGAAGTCCATTTACTACGTTGTTGTAGCTGGTGCAGATATTCTGACTTCCATCGTTTCCAGAAATGTTGCAACATCTGGACCAGCTGCTGGTACCGGTTCAGTCCAGTTGGTTTGATGTCATCCAGGTTCGGCTCTGCAAAACTAGTTAGTTGCCCGACAAGAAAGTGACCTGGGGTTAAGGGGATAAGGTAAATAGGATCTTTTGATAGAGGAGACAATGGACGGGAATTCAAACAAGCCTTGATTTGCGTGAACATGGTGTACAGTTCTTTATAAGTTAACCTAATGTCTCCTATGACTCGTCCTAAGTGACCCTTTATTGATTTAACGGCACCTTTCCGTAGTTCTCCAAAGAGTAGTGCTGAAGGGGGAATCAGGTGCCAGTTGATTTGATGTCCTGTTGAATAATTCGCTATTTGCGCATTACGGCTTTCATTAGCGAATAATGTCCCGAGTTCTCGCAATTCATTGCATGCTCCTATGAAATTAGTACCTCTGTCTGAATAAATATACCTACACATTCCTCTTCTAGAAATAAAATGTCTCAAACAGTTCAGAAATGCTTCGATGCTTAAATTGACAGTCAATTCAATGTGCATAACGATACTCGCTATGAAACATACGAAAGTACAAACATATGCCTTCGGTGTAAGCTTACTTCTGGTCCTTGAGGCATTCTGAAGCCTACCGCCCACCCTAAGGAGACCATGTCTATCTAAAACTGGGTTGAGTCCACGAATGTTACTTGTTTTCACAGTACATTTACCCCTTGTAAGTTCATTGACCACCCTTTGAAAATCCTTACATTGTGCTAACCTTAAGAGTACAATTCGTGCAAGGTTACGTTCATTAAGAGATAGTAGAGCATAATTACATTCTGCCTTTGTGGTCCTATAATTTTTGATAAATTGAAAGCACCATGTAATGGCTCTAAACAATTTATTGGCAGATGAGTTTTGCTCGAGAATGTCGAAATTGAAGCTACTGTGAACTAAATGTGAGTATGTTCCTTGTCGTTCTTCTGGAATTGCTGCGTCTTGATTATCAAGCGGTGATGGCAACCTTTCCGAATCCCTTGACAACCATGACGGTCCGTTCCACCAAAAGTTAGCATTGCATAATTCTTGAGGGATAAGTCGCGTGCTGTTTGTAGTTGCGTCACATTCTTCTGATTTACAAATACCTTCCGCCTGATGTAAAAGATTGTCACTAGTGGCTAATTGTTCTGTACTTAAATGACACGACGTAAGACAGCTGTCGGTACCCTTATTTGAAGTTACTGTACCGCCTAGAATCCAACCAAGTTGCGTCTTCTGTAATATAGGTTGGTCTGGATGTGTTCGTATTTGTCCGAAGCATAGAAGGTCCCAAAACAATCCAGCTCCAATTAGCAAGTCGATCGGTCGCGAAAGGGAAAATTCAGGATCAGCTAGCGTGATTCCAGGGGGTAATTTGAATTGATCCACACTGAATGCTACGTTCGGAGTGTAGCTGGTGATCCGTGGCATTATCAAACAGGTCATTGTCCTTGTAAAACCACTTGTTTTGGTGTGCATCTTTACTTNAGGTTGGCAAACGTAGCAAATGAAAAATACGTCAAAATCTTGTACTTATTTTTCCAGCTGATTATTCAGTGATCCGCTGAGAGAGTGCAAATTTAATCTCGTATAATTACTTAATACTTATAATATATTGTATCAATAACTACGAATTAAACGATAGTTCAATGTTGTATGTATATTTATGTACATATATATAATACATCTGTTGTAAATATACAATTATTGTGTACCTAAGGGTTACATACATACATAATGATATACTTTTCAAGAGTTGGCGAATAAATAAAGCAGAGAGAAACTTAAAATTTGGCGATATCGATTAAGGACAGGATAATGATTTTAATTATTGATTAATCCCTCCAAACTTAAAAGTAGGATACTTTTATTAAAAATTTAACAATATAAACAAACAAGTAGGTACATTTTGACGAATATTGCTAATAGTAAATATAGTATAAAGCTGTGTTCTTTTCTTTAATTGTTCGATTTTTATTAACTAACTATATAATGCAATGGACAAATCATTCCTAATATTATTTATTACCGCATAAATAATGCGCTACGTGAACTTGCTATCGTCTCTTACAGTTTATAACAGTATAGGCAGAAGTTTTAGTTTATTCGCCCGCGCGGTTTACATTCAGTTAAAACACAAAAACACAAAATTCTAATTTGAGCGTCTGACGAGACATACCTATTTTTGAAACGAAATAAGTCAAAAATAAAGTCGTACAAGTGAAAAGAGGTGAAAATTGAGCGTTGGTGGGAAAAGCGAATGGATGGTTTAACATTACCAACGTAGTTAAATTTTGTTCATTCAGTTTCGCTACACGACGCAAGAAGAATTTTCCTATTAGCATTAAATCAAACAGAGTTGTAAACGACTTTTAATTACTTCCAAAAATATCAACAACTACCACAAAGAACATACCTTTTCTCACAATGAAATAATTCAAACTTGTAGTTTATTCATGTTATACCCCTTTTGGTGCGTTATGAGTAAAATTTTAGCATGCCAAGTCACAACCTCTATCAACTGTATTCAAAAATATTGTTTAAGTAAAAATTAACCATAATTATTATGCGTATTATAAGTAAGTAAGTAAGTACCGCATGCACATATTAAAAATTGTAGAAATAATTATTAAAAAATACGAAAATATAAATAAAACATTTGTATTTATATTACAAATCATAGAGAAGTGGAGGCAAATGTTAATTATAGAGCAATAGAGATAAGCAGAGAATAGTACATTGCTCGCCAACGGTTAATTAGAAAATTCGGAAACTATTGTTAAAGGTGTATGTCTGGCAGAAATAAGCCAGATAGGTTAGTAAAGCACCTTCTCAGGCATAAAGGGCTTGTTGAAGACATGTTAGAAGCTAAGATACAGGTAGATCTAGATTTGATTACTGTTAATAAATAATTAAAGATGCGGGATGTTCAAGTTTTAGGGAAATGTGAAGATTAGCTTAGGATAGAAAAAAGTGGCACTCCGTGTCCGATCAGTCTTAAGATTGATGACCTTATGATGTTGACCACATCCATACAATTTTAATAACAAACGTACAATTCCTTTAATAAAATCTGCACGCATTTTTTTATTGTAGGTATTAGGTACATTACACTCAAAGGGTTTTTGTAATTTTCTCAGAAAATGTGCAGAATTTAGAGGGGTGAGGGGGAGGCACTTCGGGAACGGTTTTGAAAGTAAATCTCTGGCTGATACGTTAATATCAAAATATGACATCTTTCAAATCTGAACATAAATGATTATAAAATTATATCTAACAATGAGACATAAAAAGACTTGAATTTAAAGTACACACTGTCTTAACAAATATGATAATCGTTAACAAATAATGAGGCACTGGGGAACATGAAAAGAAAAAACGTAATTAGTACGTCTAACGAATTGATCGAAGTTAAAAATAGATCTAAATTAAAATTAAATACTTTATAAAGAAATGCTACTGATCCATCAAGAAAGTTTTACTCCAACAACTGAAGTAAAAGCTTTGATCCTTTAAATTAAAATTAACTACTGTTGTTGGCAGCCTCTCTCATCTTTTCTAATCTTATAATCTTCAGGTTTTTTCTATTCCCAATTCACCAGTCTCCTTGCACACGGAACGTGGTATAACTCAATTTATATTGATCAGATATAAGAAATAGTGAAGTAACTAAACAGTGATTTACCATCCTACAAATAGTATGTGGAAAGGACAATTATATATTAATTAGTTCCGCCCCAGGACGTTAGTTTCAATCGTAGTTCCTTCTTACTTCGTCGAAATGCTTTTACATATGGATTGAGTTCTGTTTTTTAACCACTTAAAATCGTTCAATTTAGAATTGCTTTTGCCAGTACTTACTAATTCAACTGATGGACAGATATTAAAAAATAACATGAAGCCGATGCCCCAATAAAGTTATCCAAAGTTTATTGGGACAACAAATTTATAATAACTCTCATAGATGGTACGTGAAGTCAGAAGCTCGAGTTCGATTTCCGGCGAGAGTGTGAGAGTAACAACAATTTTTTTCTTTATTAACTTGAGGTAATTTACAGTGGGAAGAAATTAAGTCGATTTCACATTCATCATCATCATAAGGTCGTCAGTCCTAAGACTGGTTGCACGCGACATCTACTCTTTCCTATCCTGAGCTAAAGTTCGCATTTATCTAAAACTAGAACAGCCCACATCCTTACCTATTTGCGAACAGTAATCTAATCTAGGTCTACCTCTACCCCTCCTAACTCCTGTTTCTGCCTCTAATATGTCTCTGACTAGACCTTCATGCCTGAGAAGGTGTCCTACTAACCTATCTCGCCTATTTCTTATTGACTTCCTTAGAGTCCTCTGTTCTTCTATTCTTTCCAATACCTCTTCATCTCTAACCTTTTCTACCCACGATATCCTCATCATCCGCCTATAACATCACATTTCGAACGCTTCTAATCTTTTCTTTTCCGCCGCGCCCACTGTCCATGTTTCGTACCCGTACAATGCCGTGCTCCAAACATACACCTTTAACAACCTTTTTCGAATTTCTAAATTAACCGTTCGTGAGCATAAAAGTGACTTTTTTTTATTAAAGGCGACACGACCCTGCGCTATCCTCTACTTTATATCCCTACTACTCCTTCCATCCTGACTTATCTGACTTCCTAGGTATCTAAAATCAGCCACTTCTTCTATTTTTTCGTCTCCTACCTTTATATTCGCTCTTTCCCTACTTTTTCTTCCCTTACATATCAGTATTTTAGTTTTACTTTTATTTACTTTCATACAGTACTGATCTGTCAGTACCGCTTCCATTTTATTTAAAGCTATCCCTAGGTCCTCCTTGCTAGATGCTAATACTGCTATATCATCTGCAAATTTAAGCATACTAATCTTTTGCCCTTGCACATCTATCCCTACAGTTGTACATTAATGTTTGATAATTATTAGAATATTAACCACTTCTAAAAGTAAACACTTTCTTAAAGTATTAGAAATGGATACATGAGTTTCGATGACTCTGTCACCTAGTAGGTACGTTTCGTCGTTGCTGTCACCTGTCGTAATTTAGTAGCTACGGCATCGAGTTCTGTTCCCGGCGAGGGTGCGACAGCAGCAACAAATTTTTCCTCATTAACTTGAGGTAATCCGTAGTGGGAAGAAATTAAGTTAATTTCACATTAATG